AGAAAAAAGCAAAAAAAAACAAAGCTCACCACAGTCTGTACTGGTGACTGATGTGCCTTCTTCTGTAGCCGGGAAGCTGGAAGATGTATACCAGGAAATCAAAATGGTTTCTTGGAACAAGGTACACAGCTGCTAGATCCGGAGTTCTTCTCTAGCTGCCCTTCTCTAGCGGCTGAAGGACTTCTTTTTTAAAATGCTTTCACTGGTTAGGTTCTCACCTTTTATGTTCTGCCCCTGAATGTGAATCGTTTTATTTTCCCCTTTGCTGAAACATTTGGTTTCCCTGGGAAACATGGTTGAATTGACTCAGTTAGGTGTGCTTTTCTGAAGGGAAATACTGGGCCAAGAACCCACCTGAGTGCATTTTCTCCTCTCCTTGCCTGCCCCAAAGGAGCTCTTCACTGTGTAACAGTGACATGCTTCTGCCAGAGTGCTGTAAACACCTGTCAGTGCCTCCACTACTGACAGCAGCTGCCCTTCTGTTTTCTTCTCCTGCCTTTTCTGCTCTTTCTGTCTCCACTCATACTCTCTCTTGCCAACACCATCACTTCATCTGTTTAAACCTGATTTACTAATTACATCTGCAATCTAATATTCTCTATGTTGGGGGGAGGGGTGGAAATCTGAGCAACAGTGAGCATAAGGAAGAAACCTAGGAAAGCAGTAAAGGCAGAACATTTATTGCAATGGAGAGGAATAGGGCATTCAGGTGCTCTACAGATCCCCTCTATTTACAGTTCACACCCTTCTGAGTTGCCTCCTCCCAGTGCTTCATACCCTCCTCTTCCAAAAACATCCTTGCTTTCAGTTTCTTTCTTTCAACCCTCAACCCACAGCCATCTCAAGAGTGGGAAAGCTTCACATGAGCTCTCGTTATCAACTTATTCAGCATGAGCTGACACAATGCCAATGAAATCTACACAGACTGAGAAACTATCAGTGTACCACAGGGAAACATACATCTGACCTATTCTTACACTTGCTCAAGGGAAAAATTAGAATTGCCAGGATAGAGGGAGGATTGCTTGTGACCTGCCATTAGGACTAATGCTTAAACTAGTCTTTAAACTCCTCAGTCTTATGTGTAGAATTTTATGTTGGTAAATTCAGAATGATCAAAATAATTAAAAAAAAAACTCAAAACCCACCCTACTCATAGCGAGTATTCTTCTCTCCCTGAATAACTCCTTGCCTCATATGTAATACATTAACAGTATAATAACAATGACTCTTACAAAACTCCAGGCTTGTTTTAAAATTCCATCCCTCCATTTATTATTTCCAAAGGGTCAGTACACCATATATCAACAATTTCCTCAATTCTTGCCCCCCAACCCACTCTCAGCCATAAGATACATATCTTAGTACCTGCACTTAGCCTGCAATGGAATGTAAAACATTTCAAGCTCATCAAATGACTTACCCCTGCACCTTAAAATCAAACATAATGTCACTCCGACACCACAGACAACAGCAAGACTTGCAGGCAGTCCAATCTGGAGATACTGGAGCCTGGAGGAATCATCTGGGGGGGAAAAAGAAAACCAGTTACAGAGCTAGATGTCAGTACCCACTGACTACTTGATGATGGTATCTAACTTAATAAGAAAAGAAAAATCGTGCTCTACCCCCATAACTTCAATGAGAGACAGATGGGATGTCTAGGTGCCAATCCACAAAAGGGACTGTTTTGCTCATCCAGTGTGTACAAACATACTTCCATTTTCAACCCATACACTTTCATAGCTTCCCTTTGTACAAATGATACTAAAAGTGCATCAGCAGAACTGATCAGACATCCCTCCAGAATTTTGTAATTAGTGACTGGTCTGTGTTAATTTCCATCCTTCATGCCCCTGCTATTTTGGTGATACAAGCGCTATCTAGATTTTCTTACAAATTTTGATGGCAGAAACATATCAAGTCCAGCATAGCCAGTTTAACCTTTACTACCTTTGTCTCTGGGAAAGTTTGCTCAAGAGTAACACACAGCCACTCTCCACTTTATCCAGCTCATCAGCTCAAGGGGTCCAAAAATTCAGCTCAAGGGGTCTAAAGTTTCACATCAAAAACAAATCACAGTTACTGCAGAGAGAACTTCTCTGTCATCACTAATTAAACAAGGAACACTGAAAGAGAATAAGGAGCTCTTGTAACTTAAAATGGAGATCCAAGTAAGCTCCCACTGGAAACTTCCTCATACCATGCTGTGAAACATTTGGTTTCAGCTGACTAACTCTGAATTACTAATTTTTCTATCAACATGCACAAGAACTTTGGCATTTCACCACTAAACAATCTGCCAAGCCCTGGCATTCAGTGGAAACAGCTGCAAAGAAAACCACAGTCACAAGAGAGCGATGTAGAACAATTACAGATCGATGTTCTTTACCTGACAGATCTAGGGAGAGAGACTGGTTCACAGCTGGGTGGGTAACCAGGCAGGTGACATTAGGATGTGTGCTGCTGACCCAACTTATGTAGCTGACCTTGGTCACTGTTCCATTGAGGTGGTGGACATCTTTCTCAACACTGTGATTACTTGCAGGGATCCAGAAGATTTTGGCAGCTGGTTTTCCAGCAATAGCTTGGCAAACAGCCTCTCCGTTCTTGTCAGAGGTCAGAGACAATGTAGGAGGGACTGCAGAAGAAGTAAATAGACTACAGTCATTATTCCAGAGGGTCTCTAACTGAGAAACAAAAACAGTACTATTTTTTATTTTTTGGGTGGCCAACTTAAGATATTTTAAAATAATTCAGAATATTAACAGCAATCATCTTTAAGGGAAAAACACACTAAAGTCCAAGGTAAATATCTCTAAAAATTGGTAGCTGCACTTAGAGTTGTGGTTTCCTCATGTTTTCCAAAGGATGACCATAACTGTAACAGAAAATGGGATGTTGGATAGGGCTGGATTAAATGAAGATTTAAAAGTATAGCAGTGCATATACTGAACAAAACACTGTAGCTTGCTGAAGCTTCAAGCTAAGAAATTCATAGTATGAATAGAAAGGAGGAAATGGAGAAATACTATTCTGCCTAAAGCCTAACAATTTATGTTCTGCATTTGACAAAACAGATTCTGCAAGAAAGAAAAAACAAAAAAAACAAACTAGTATCAAGGGACAAATATTAACAGTAGCAAATTACTGATTTGCAGAATAACTTTCCCATAAGCCTTTCGAGTATTACTAAAAATCAACTATGATGATCAGAACAAAAAATCCTGTCATAAATAAAATGTTTCTTGCAATTTAAGGAAAGCTAGAGATGATCTACGCGTCTCAGGAAGATTGCCTGATGCATTGCTTTTGTTTCCTAATACTTTCTCTTCCTGCCTTGGTTGAAAATAGCCTAAAATCATTTTTATTTTAGTGATGCAGTTCTACAACTTTCAATGCTTCTGGAAGAGTTAAATATTTCCAGATAATGTCCTGAAACTCATGCTTCCTTCCTATTTGGTCCTTATCCAAACAAAGTACACAATGTGTGCACTGTGAAATTTGGTTCAGCTTTAAGTAGCAATATTTATTTAATATCCTCTATTTGCACTAACTTAACCAACAGTGTGCACTCCTGTTCATGTGAACATTCACACACCATTCAAATTCCATTTTACATCCAAAGTACTATATTAGAATCTATCCAGACTGTTCATCTGGAGCATCTGAAAACAGTCCCTGATCATGAGGCAGAAACAAAAAAAAACACCACAAATAACAGCTGATTATTTCTTATTAAAACAGCCCTATGTCTTCATATGGCTCCTTGCCCTCTCCAGTCATACTAAATCAAGTCTCATCTTTATCTTCAATCAAAAATCAATTTGGTCCTTTAACAACATCTCAAATCTGTTTTATGTCCACACAACAATGAAAAAGTGCAGGTGCATCTTACCTATGACAGTCAGAGAAAAGAGAAAAAGAAAATTCCCCTCACTGCTGACAATTTCACAGGTGTAATTTCCCTCGTCATTCAGGTTCACGGGGTAAATACGTAGAGCTAGGTCGTGATTGGGTGAGTATTTCCACATCATCCTCTCACTGCAGTTTAACATTCTTGACTCATTGAGATCCCTTCTATAAGCTAAAAAGCAAGAAGTGCTGGATTTCATCTTCCACGTCACCATTAGCAAAGACAGCTCGGAGATTGATGGGCAATTCAACACAGCCTCATGACCAGCCTCCACATTCACGCTTCTATAAGCTACGTGGGAAAAAAAGAAATAGAGAAAGAAAAAATTAAATATTAAATATGATCCTTAAGCTTTCATCAATATCCAGCTCTTGGCTTCACCATACTTACAATTTCGACTTTCTTACTGTACTGGCAGCCTTGGGAATGCATTGCTCTCACAGAAACTCATAAGTAGTATTCAGTTTCCAGGTCCTGCTTCCTTCTATCACTGTCTTTGAGATCTCGAAATGCAGTGGAAATGATGCCTTTCCACTGTATGCAATGTGCGTTGGTGAGCTACAGTTCTCCATTTCTTTTGGCAATAGATTCCTACCACTTTAATATGGACATTGAAAAACTGATGGGGAGCCCAAGATTCACCCTTAAAGTAAAGGAAACTACCTTTTCTAAGGAAAAAGAAAAAAAAAAAAAGAATCATAGAACAGCTCAGGTGGAAAGGGACCTCAAGGACCATCAAGTTCCAACCAGTTTGCCACATGTGGGGCTGCTAACCTCCCCATTTAACACTAGACCAGGCTGCCCAGGGCCCCATCCAACCTGACCTTGAACACCTCCAGGGACGGGCATCCACAACCTTTCTGGGCAGCCTGTTCCAGCACCTCACCACTCTCTCTTTAAAGAACATCCACCTGATATCCAACCTAAATCTTCCCTCCTTCAACTTGAAACCAGTTTCCCTTGTCCTGCCATTATTTACCCTTGTAAAGAATTGACTCCCCTCATTTATAGGCTCCCTTTAGGTACTGATAGGCTGCAATGAGGTCACCCCTCAGTCTGTCTTCGTAGGGGAGGTGCTCCAACCTTCTGATAATCTTTGTGGCTGTCATCTGGACATTCTCCAACAGCTCCTTATCTTTTTTTATTGGAGGCCCCAGACCTGGCTGCAGTACTTCAGATGGGGCCCCGCAAGAGCAGAATAGAGAGGAAATCACCTCCCTGTCCCTGCTGGCCAAGAGCAGAATAGAGAGGAAATCACCTCCCTGTCCCTGCTGGCCACCCCTCTTCTGATGGAGCCCAGGATTCCATTCGCTTTCTGAGCTGCAAGAGCACACTGCTGGCTCATTTTAACTTCTTCATCCACCAGGACCACCAGGTCCTTCTCTGAGATAAGGTGCACCAATTACAGTGTAAGAAAATCCTGGGATAGCAGGGGAACCGGAGCTGGGACCTATAATCCTTATAGGTCCCTTCCAATTCAGGATACTCTATGAACATATACCAATAAGAAGGATAAGATCCAAGATCATCTGGCATAGTATTTGATGGAGCATATGTGATATGGGTATATATCTGTTTTTTTTCTGCCAGAAACCATAGCTCTGCTGATGTTTTCTCATCTGAACAAGAGATGAATCTTCAGATTATTTGTGTTGAATCCTTATCAGAAATAATATTCTATGCCATTCTGCAAAGCACAGGATTATTTTGTCAGCTGATGTGATATCATTCTTCATACTGGTGAACAGTAAAATTTCAGTGTACCCGTGAGTCAGCAATACAGAGTATCAAACAGTGATGAGCGCAGCTTGAATCTTCCTTACCTGACCCTCCAATCAGTTGGATCATCAAGAAAAGGATTGCAGCCTGAACTGCCCATGTCTGAATCATCTTCAGCAAAAGGAATCAGCACTGCAGTAAAAGAAGGCAAAGGAAATGGTGGGTAGTCACAAGCTGTAATGCAAGTCCCTTCAAAAAAAACGGGAAGAAAAGCCTTTTTTTCTTTGAAAACAGAAGTTGTAAGAAGGACCCATGTCAAGTATCATTCTTACTCTAAAAGGAAGAAAGCAAAAAATGCTTGGGAAACAAAAAGGATTTCTGTTTACAAACCAGTTTTAAAAACCCAAGATCTCATTTTCCCATCATCTCCAGTCACCCACGACTCACGAGCAGCTAGCTCGCCAGCTAGCACAGATCGCTACAGACCTCTTACTGCTGCTTCACAGATTTACCTGCAGAAGATGAAGAAAAGACTTTGCAAGAGCAAAGATGTGTGCATCAAACTCTTTTTGAAAAAATCAAGGTAACAGCATTTATGGGAAAACTCAGGACCTAGACTTGGCTATTTGAAGGAAGTAACCCAGAGAAATGATTTAAATCTTTGCCCTGCTTTTAGTTTCTCAAAGGGTAACTCCATTTCTGCAGTAGAAGTGAAAGCTCTACTGTCCTTTTGTGAGAGATCACAAACATGAGCTTGTTTCCTGCTTTTAGAGACAGAGAAATGAGGAAGCATTTTATTAACTAACATGACTCCATAATTATGTATACTTTTCAACAAACCATATCTTACAAATTGCTAGCTTCTTTTTGGCAAAAGGGCTGTTGCTTGAGCACAGACCTGATGAGAAACATTGCTGGTACTTTCCTACAGTCAGTTAATCATACATAAATAAACCCAAATTTTTCTGGCATACTTGTACTGAAAAATGTGGCTATGCATTCCCACAGTCAAAATATCATGCTTTTCTACTCAGATCTCAACACCTACAGCCCTACTACAGCTCCCCCTGGCTCGGTCACAGCAAAGGATTCCCAGCCACTGCATTGCTGTAACCCCATCACGGAGTGACAAAGCAGAGGTCTCACTGTGTGCCTGTTTTTATAACACTGCAGTAGCCATACCCTAGCTGGGGTTACTGTCAAAATCTGCAGCCACAGTTTTGTCTCAAAGCTCCTTCCCACATTCCCATGAAGTTATCTGATTTTCCAGCACTCACCTCTGCATTTCCTCAAGCTCTTCTTGGTCCTTTCATTGTTCTCTCCTTCATACCACCATCTGCATCACTTTAATCTCCCACACGCAGCTAGAGATAACTGGAAAATGGTGTTGCCATCCTATGGGAAATACTGATATGTTGTTCTCATTCCTAAATCAAACACCAATACACACCAAGCTAGCAAGTATCTTTCTAACACAGTTGATTTAAAAACATCATACGTGTTGCAACAGGACCTTCCTTTTGGGTTATTTATGGTCATGCTCTGTTCACACTCGTTGTGCCCATATTAATACAAGGATGTTTCATTGAAGATACCGAGGGGAGGAAGGACACATGTACATGTCCTTCTATGCATGTAAAAATATATCAAGTAAGGAAGAAAAAAAACAATAGAATACTGCCACACTTACGGAACTGAAAAAGAAGCAATAGTGCTACATTTGTGATCTGAGTGCAAGAGGCAACAATACTCAGTGCAACTTATACACGATGCAAGATGTATGCACGTTCTCACAGCAGCTTGATAGGTTTTCTGCACAATTCTAACAAAACACCAATGTATCTGGATGAAAACTTTTATTGCAGCCTGAAAATGCTGATGCTAGCACATTGATCAGTATTCTACAACCAACATGCAGGTAATGGGTAATGTAAGTCTTATATTCCCAAACTCTCAAATTTCATTTTTACTCACTTTAAATCTTTGCCCCAAATGACATAATTTTTGTGTTTTGTGTCATTCAGTATCAATGAAAAAGTTGCTTTTTTCTATAATTTAGATAAATTATGCATGCAAAAGTAGCTTTCAATGAAAAAGCTTGTTGTTTTTTTTTTTCTTAAAAACAACAGCAAAAGATTATTTTTGGCCAAAAATACGCACTGAATTAGACCCAATTTGGAAATTGTTTTTCTGCCTCTTTAAAAAAAAAAAAAATGTTCTCTGCAATGTTTATCAGCAAATTCAATGTTCACCGAAGTTGATGGATCCATAAATATTCATATACAGCATATTGTGATACTGGAACTTGTCCCAGAGAGCTATCATTTTTTAAAACGCATACAAGTCATGTATACTGAGCTTATTTGCTCAAAAGAACAGACATCAATGATTAAAAATGGGGCCTTACGGAAAGAATAGAGAATATCACTTCGCTTAAATATTCATGTATGAAACACTGAATTTAGATTGTAATTTTTAAGGTTCACAGTCCTCAACTGCTTACGCCTCTGAGCAAGAAGTAAATCTCAAAGTGGAGCCCCAGAAGGAGAAACCCAGCACAGCTGAATTCAATTCATTTATAAAAGCAGCAAATGAATGTCTGTAGATTGTCTTGTGTCATTTCCTTTGATGGAATTAAAATGCCCCAACAACTGCATTAAAACAAATTAAAGTTTTAGCTCAGCCTCGATGGTGGTGTCTGAAATGAGACCCCGCAATGCATGCATCACTCTCCCATTACCCTCCACACTGCAGCTGGGAATGGCACTGCTCACGCTCGATTGCCTCTCATGAATGCTGAGGGGAAGGAAGTCGCTCAGTATCAGCCTGGAGAAGGGACATCCAGCTCCAGGAACACAGAAGGTAAAAGGCAGCCACGGCAGCACACTCTGGTCCTTGGATAATCTTAGTCCTGGGGGGCAGAAACGAGATGTTAGCACAGGGGTTTGGCCCAGTTGGGATCCTGGTCCCAGTTCCCACGCACCAGGGAACAGCACTGGAACATCTGTAGCTCCCTTCTGGTTGTCCTCACGAGAACTGAGAATTCAGAAGTGGCTCAGCTCAGGACAATTTGTCCCAGATAGTCCCTGTTTTCTTTGCACTGCTCACAAATTTCTTTCTGTTGATGCTCCCAAGGTTATAGCATGCAGCTGATTTGTCTCGCAGACAGACAGAGCTCCTTGCCCTCCTGTGACAGCTCAGTGAAAAGAAACCATCTGGTGGTGCATTCCCCCAGAAGAGGATGTGACACAGTTAGAGCTAGGGAAATACCGCATTCAGACACGAGGAACAAAACGCAGCCTCTGATTGCATTATACTGTGCATCAAATACAGGATGCAAGCCCTGAGCTATGTAAAATGACAGTTAAAGTGGGTTAACAAAAGCCAAGTCCAACATAAGGAAAATATATTTAACACAAAGCGAAGAAAGAAAAGGCGCTGCTCACAAAGAATCGATGAGAGCAATGCGTCAGTCGTCACCACAAACCTTTGTAAATGTCACATGGCCATTGCCATGATTAACAGGAAAATATGACGCTGCTTGCAGTGGAATCACATTTTAAAGTGTAGTGAAGATCTTCAGAAGCCTGTTACTTCCTCTGGGCAAGGGAGGGGAGGAAGGGATGGTACAAAGAGGAACCAGTTGCGTGTAGCTACGAGCTGCACCACAATGAGTCAAAAGGCAGAAGCCAGCCAACGCTGTCTGACGTGGGAGGTACACAGAGAGCCCCAGGTCAGCCTCCACCCTTAGCTGTCCTGTGTGGCCTCAGCGCCTCTGTAAGATGACATATCTCCTGATAACACACTGCAATAAAAGCAGAGCAGTTCAGATAACAGTCTCAGAGTCTCCCTTTTCTCCTCCATGTTTTCACAGCAGCCCTCAGACATTGCAGCTGTAGCAGTTACCTGGGGAGAGGAAGCAGCAGTGGTGCCCGTATGTCTGCATTTTCTACGTATCTTAGCCACAAGCTATTTTCATGCAGCCTATTTTCTGCATAGGAAGTTTTGCAGAAAGTCTAAGAGTGGTCTGCAGCCCCCTCAGGGGACAGACTCTGTTCAGCTGGTGTCTCCAGCTGCTCCCAGGCTATGATGCATCCTTCAAGTTCCTCAGATTAAAATGAAGTCATAAAATACAGGAAACCTTTGAATGCTCTGGAAAGAAGACAAATCCCATAGAATTTTAGAACTGTTTGAGTTGGATGGGACCTCTAAAAGTCATCTAGTCCAACATCCCTGCAATGATTACATACAGCAACATCAAGTGCCCATTCAGCCTGACCTTGGGACGAGGCGTCCACCACCTCTCTGGGCAGCCTGTTACAGTGCCTCATCACTCTTAACGTAAAAAACTTCTTCCTTATGTCCAGTCTAAACCTCCTTTCTTTTAGTTTGAAACCATCTTATCTTGTTCTATCTCCACAGACCTTGCTAAAGAGTCTGTACTCTTCCTTCTTACAGAACCCCTTCAGATACTGAAAAGTTGCTCTCAGGTCTCCCCAGAACCTTTTCTTCTCCAAGCTGAACAGTCCCAGCTCTCTCAGCCTGTCCTTACAGGGGAAGTGTTCCTTGGATCCTTTTTGTGGCCCTCCTCTGGACATACTCCAACAGGTCTATGTCGCTCCTGTGTTGAAGACTCCACATCTGGATGCATCACTCCAGGTGAGGTCTCACCTGAGCAGGGTAGAAGGGCAGGGGCAGGTCCACCTCCACTGACCTGCTGGCCACACTTCTTCTGGTGCAGCGCAGTTGGCTTTCTGGGCTGCAAGGGCCATTACTGGCTCACGTCCAGCTTCCCATCCACCTGCATCCCCAGGTCCTTTTAGGCAGGGCTATGCTCAATCCTTTCATCCCTCAGCTTCTTCTGATAGTGGGGGGTATGTGAAGAGGAGTGGAAAGAGCTCTTCATTCTCAGAAACTGAGATGTATTTAGAGGTTAGGGGAGGTTGCATCCTTTCTCTGTCCTTAGCTGCACTCCATAACTACCTGCTGCTGGCCACTGCAAGTGGCACCGGGTAGATGAACCTCTGGTTTGACCTCATAGCCTTCTAGTGTTTTTATTCTCTGAAGGATTACCTAACACTGAAAATGCACCCATATGAAGCCCTCTCCTAGCACAGCAAAAGTTTGTTAGTACGGTTAGAGAATGGAGGAACTTCACCTTCTGCTCAAACTCATTTGTCTCATACTTGCTGGCAAGTGAAAGTCATAGATGGTTGCCAGCTACAAAATTCAGCCCACCCAGTTCATGAGCCAGCCTCATTCAGTTCCAAATAAGCAAAACTGTATAAACTTTCTCTATAAACTGGGGAATAGAGGGTAGATGGTTTCCTGAAAGGGAGAGAATTGCTTAATAGAAGGAGCTGTCAAAAGAGTTATTAAGTGTTTCTACTGAAATAAAAAATTACTGTTTTCTGACAACTTATATATGAAGGTAAATAGGCTTAAACATTCCTCCTCAGCAGAGTAGATGTTTGCTGTGTCTGTGTGTTCAATTTGTCAAAACATTAATGATTAGAATAATGCTAATACTAACATTACCACAACATGTTTTTTTCCCTAGCAGGGTGAAAAACAAGCAGAACAGCAGATGAGTGTATTGCTTGTTTGTTTGCTTTCTTCTTTGTTTTTAGTAGCTGTAATTCAACAAAACAGGTGTGAATTGCCTCTCCTTTCAGAAATATTTACCTTCTTAACACTGGCCAATCTAGAAAACAGCCTGTGAAGTTATTACCTGAGCTAAATTGTACACCTCACATCCATAGCTGCCTTGCAGCCAACCTGTTCAGAAAGCACGTAACCCCCATAACGGGAGTAGGACCAAAGGATGAATAGCAGTAAGAATAGCCTCTGGTAAGCCTGTTCTCTTCCTTGCAGGAAAAGAGATGTTTGTCTTGAAGAGGAAAATATAGAAACAGCCCGTGAATGTAACATCTTGATTTTCCAAGGTACAAACCACCTGTGGTTCCCACTGATGTCAGCAAACATACAGTGGGACAAATGCTGCTGATAATAAAACCTTTAAAACCCGAAACTTCCAAGATAAATGTCCAGAGGCAATTACATTGCCATTTCCAGAGACTATGAAAATTAATTTATATTTTAACTACAGCTAATCTACACTCACTGGACCAACACAGTCAAGCCCAGCAATTTCTGTTCTTGGCCCTATTAAATCCCCCTTACCAATTTTGGGTCATTAACCCATTATTCAGAGGCTTCTCATTTGATCCTAATGCTTCTGCAACAAATTTTATCTTCAACAAAGGTGCCCATTACTTTGGCTACTTAAATTTCTGCCTCTTGTGGACTTACTGCACCACTTCACACATTTCCCATGAAGAACCAAGTAACCAACAACCCAAGTACAGTTACCACTTTCAGAACTGTGGGATAATCCAAGAAATAGACTCCTAAAAATCCAGTAGTGAATGGAAAATAGATGATTCATAGGTGGACACAGCTCCTCAAACTCTCCAAATAAGGGTAGGCACATATCTCAGATTCCTTGGACGAAAGTTTCTCTCCCATCCCAGCCTCAGGAATTGGCCTTCCCCTACACAGCCAAATGTGACCCAATGTATCCTGAGCTTCTTATAAAGCTGCAAACTTCAAATAATCCCCACTTTAAAAAGAATACAAATAGCAGCAGAAACTGACATGTAGAAGAAACAAAATCCCAGGTGGATCCTCCTCACCTATTAGTAGATCTTTGGTCTAGCTTCACTGATCATGGTTTAGGCAGTTCCGAGCATGGGTAGAGCCACAGGATTATCAAGACTCTCTGCTTCAATTGTTCGCTCCTCCTTCACCTCAGCTTGGAAAGGATGATATCCTTCAAAGCTACAGCTTTGTTCTCCATGGAGAGCTATGAGCATCCTGCAAGAACTGTCCCAAACTCATCTGGGAGTCCACTGCTCCGCAAGGAGCTGCATAGTGAGTCCTTAGGCTCTTCACTCAGCAGACTTTTACGCCCTTGATTTACAGGAAGGGAAAACTTTGCTGCCTCTCCTGTGTTTGTAGGGCACTTAGGCCAGCACTATCAAAAATGAAGTTCATACTATTATCACACAGCA